CCTGCCTCACCTCATACACCACAATTCCCAAAAAAAAAAAAAAAGTTAAAACAGCATTTTCCATCATAACTTATTTTTCTCATTAAAAGAGAAAAAAAAAACATGGTAAAAGGTTGCCCTCTTTTTGAAACAATCCTGAGGAAAAGCTACCAAAGCAACGTTTCTCACGATCCTTTTCCAGCAATAACTTGTTATTTGGGTGAGGGGCGGGAGGAGAACAATGTAAAAACCGCTGAAACCGGAGCCCGGCCACATCAGTGCGCTGCCTGGAGTTCAGCAGATCGCGGATGAAAACGGTTCCCCCCCTCCAAACCCGGGTGAGGTTTGCTTCAGTTCCCAGAAAACCTCCTGCTTGGTCACCACTACACGCCTCACAGCTCCCACAGCAGCTTGTCATTGTGGGTGCAGGCAGAGGTTGGAGGACAATCACACAATCTGGGGACACTGCTGGATTTATAGCAACACTTTCCATAATTAAACCCACGATTATTACAGACTATAAAGTTTAGAGAGGATGTCCACTCACTAAACCAAACAATTGCTTTTCTTCTTTTTTTTTTTTCCTCACTTGGCTGCCAAACATACCACCGGATTACTTCGACATCTCATGTAGAACAAAAGCAACAAGGCTGTGATAATAAATTTCATCAACCCTGAAAGTGCTCTCCTCTTCATTTGCCTCTGAGACAGACAAAATAACCCAATCTGACTCAAAACCTAAACTCTTAAAACATCCCAAAACCTTTGACATACTTCGTCAAGACTATACACTTCTAAACCAGATGGTCTGGATTGTTCTGGAAACATTCGCCCTCACCACAAGCTGTGACAGTAAAATATGTTGCAATCAATCAAGATAACTGTGTAAAATGCACAAAGATGGGGGCGAGGTTGGTGGAATAACTGTGCGCCTCATCATGCTGAAACTTGTCCATGAAAATGTATTCATCTGAGGAGAGGGGGTTTAATTTTACCTAAGATTTAAAAAAAACCCTACATCTTCCACTGGGGTACACAAATATATTTAAATCATGTCTTTCTTAAAACTTAAAAAAGGAAAGTAAAATTAGGTAAATAAATAAATAACTGTCTTCAGGGATTGCTGCAGCAGATGGGAGCTGAGTCGCAGCTGAAGGCATATTTTTTTTTTTTTTGCTAGCGCTGCGTCTCGTCATGAATAGCAAAGATAGTCTGCTGGAAATTTCTCCCGCAAAACTTTATGCAAGGAAGGGGTGTCAACTTTCAAAAGGTACGCTGTCATGGGAAAAGGAAAGTTTTCACAACTGCGAATGCGGTCATGGAGAAAACTTAGAATAATCCAAAACCGAGGAGCCAGTAGAGCACCTTCAGCATCAATCACTTTTAGAAGCTGTAGAAGAAGTTTGACCGATTCTTCTGCGCAATGTAGGTTCAGTTCTCTGGGGTTTGGGAGGATTCACTTATGCCTTATGTTGATTACATTTCAATCGAGTTCAAAATAATACAGGAGCGTCATTTTGTGTGTGGATATACCTTTTGTCTGGACTTGTCTGGACTTTGCATCCCCCTGATTCTTTTACTTTCAGTAATTTCAGTGTTTGCAGCTGTATTCAGAAAAGGTTTGCAGCTGATGACACACTTTGGGCCAAACCTCAGCTGCTAAACAGTTGACCTTACATTTGGCACCAGAAAACTTTGGTATACAGATGAATTCAAGTTTGTACCAATGACTGCATTATGTCAAGCCCAAGCCCAAATCATTACTCTTCTACCGATGTGATTTTCTCCAGTCGTGGACTTCATTAACTTTTAAGGCACTTAAAGACTTTGTATCTGTGAACAGTGCTTATAAAAACAGTCCCGCTGCCATATTCTCTTCAGAAACAATGTTTCTTTCTCCTTCAGCCCTTCCAAATCAGCCATATGTGTTCATCTTCTTCTGTTTGTCTTGTCAAAAACTTGAACATTCAATATGCACAGAGGGGCTTGTGGGGCCTAAAACTGCATTGCACAATCTGACACAGAGGTGAATTTACTCTGATGTCTATTCTTAGGAAGAATGAGCCTTTCTTACAGGTCTGTCATTTCCTATACAGGAACTAGAGCCACGTCAGAGTACCACAGCAGAAATGAATCTCAGCCTGCCCAACACCATCTGGGTGGGAGAGCGGTAAATGTACCTCACTGACTGAATATGCTCAGCGTCACGGTCTCTGTCATCTGACTATTTTCTAACTGATCAATTGTCCATATTTTGTCGAATTTGAATCGAACAGTAAAAATAAATATTTTTGTTTGGATGCTACACTTAGCTTCCATGTTGAATCAGATTCAATGGCTGAAAAGGAAAATTGTTGATATTTTCAAAATGAATTTCAAATAAATTACAGCTACGTATTTTCACCACAATAAAACACTTGGCTTATTGCTGCGATGGCCTGATTTCAATAAAATTAAAGTGGCTGTAATTCACTTTCTTGTCTTGTTTTCCAAAGCAGCAATGGTCTAAGCATCAGTGGACAGAAATTACATAAACAGTGATGCTGTGAAATATGAAAAGCAATTAAGAAATAGTCTTGAGGGAAGTTACGTTCTGGGGGACAATTGTTTCAAATTAAAAGCAGAACTTTGAAATGTTTTGAATTTGAGAAAAAATATTTGATGTTCAAGTACGATGGACTTAAATTGTTTGGATATTGCCTTCTAGGAAGCATCAGTGGCTCATCTTAGGTTATTGCTAATATATTTCCTTCTTGGTGTTGTGCTACCAGGATCTTGCATGTTCCAGGTGGACAAACTAGTAAATTTTCTGCCTTTTAAAAAGTGCCATACCAAATCTAATTATTTAATCAAGCGCATTTGATTAGCAGAACCTGGCTGCTAGTTTCTCTCTAAAAATCTCTGGAAGGTATGTAGATATTTTACAAAGGCAAGAAAATACAGCATTTTGTCCCCCAGCAAACAAATTTTTACTCCAAACATCAAACGTATTATGATAAAAACCACTAGGAGCCAAAGAAATGTCGTCCGGATTTGATCAGCGTAATTACATAAGTAGTTTAGGGATTTTTTTCTGCTCTAAAAAAAGCTCAGCTGTCACCCAGAATGATTTTTAATTTGCAAAGACCTGCAGGCAGTTTTGATCTAAACTTATCAAACTCAAACGGAACTTATTAAGCTGTTTTTACATGCAGAGAATAACATTTTTTTGTTTTGTGTGCGTCTGCATTCTTCAAAGGACAAAAGATTTGTTTACTAGTAAGCACTAGCAACCCACAAAGAAATTTTAAAAAATGAAGAATTCTGGTCCAGTTATGCCAATAAGAGGACAGTAGGAAATAACTAGGCAAGATCGAAGTGTTTTATGTTTCTGAAAAACAGCAAAATACAACACAGTCATCAATTCAGATATTATAAAAAATATGAACCAAAGAAAATATTAGTTTAGAAGGCTAAAATTATAAGAAATGATTTGCTTCAGTGCATTGAAGAGGTATTTACTCCATATTTTACAACTACAAATATTTATCAGACAACACAAAGTAATGAATAGTTACTAAATTGAAGGAAACTGGTGAATGTTTCTAAAATTTGTGTTTTGTATTCAACACGCCGCAGTCAACAGTTCCGAAAGCCAACTTTTGCTGCTGACTGTCTACCACTTTTGCACAACTACAGACTAAAACTTTGGCCCAAACAAATTTAGCGCAAGATCAGTTAGACGGGAGGGAGATGGTCTATGAAAGTTTTCAGCTCTTGCACAGGTTCTAAATTGGACTTTGCTCTGAAGTTTATTTAATCTGTCATTAGTTTTAACATTCGGGATGTGATCAGGATAATGTTCCACCACATATGCAGTAAAACTTGACAAGACCAACTTTACATGTTTGCAGGATTCTCATGGCTTTCCTTTAACAATATCTTTCTTCCTCTTAATCATAAAGCAGCTTTCTGGATTTGACAATAATTACCATGAAGACAATTTACAGCTTTTGAGTTTACTTACACGTGGAGGCAGAAAAGTAAAGAGGTCTGTGTCACAACTTCAGGATATGTTATTTTGTACAATATTCTGAATACATTCATTTTCCAATTCCCAGCAATGAACTGTGTTGATCTACCACATAAAGTCCCAGTAAACTATGCTGAACTTTGGGGTTGTATGTAACTAAATATGGAAAAGTTCAAGGGGCATGATTACTTTTGCAAAGCCGGGGAAACCCAAGTTCATGGATTAAAAAAAAAAAAAAAAAAGAAAAAACATATAATCAAATGTTCCAACAGAGCTTTTTACAAGTTGAAGTGACTTTATCCGGCCGTAGAAGTCATGCCTTCCTCACATGATGGCCAGCGCAGCCAGCCTCAGCACCGATGCCGCAGATAGAGCTAGCCTCAGGGAAGGAATATATCAGCATTAACAAGATGTTCCGCATAGCTTGGACCCCTATTCATTAGCTTTACACCAGAAGGAGCTCGGCTCAGGCGGGCCAAAGGGCTAGAAAGGAAGTGAGCAAACTCAAAACGCCTCTATTACTTTGTCCATCAGTTCTCAGCACGCAAAGACAGGATTAATCATAAAAACAGACTGAGCGCTGCATTTGAGCGACGCCCACAGTCACACCTCTGACCGGAGGCAGCGTCGTGTGCATGAGTGTTTTTGCAGCAACAAGCAACGGTTTCCACCACATGAAAACACCAGCGACGAGTAAGAAACATGGAATATGGAATTGTGTTGCAAACTTTCCGAATCATAAGCAAGTTATTCTTGAAATAACGCAGAACTAGACACAGCAAAATATTTTATGAAAGCAGAAAGACGAGAAGAAATTGCACTTTTGAATATTAGACAGTGTTGTATACGGCATGTTAGGACATCGTGTGCACTTTAATATAGCAGAGGAATAAAATAAAACCCTTGTGTCTGACATTTTGTTTCCTCAAATATCAAATAGGGGGAAAAAAGAATGCATATGAGACCAATTTGAAACAACAGACAGCAACAGCTTTGTTTCCATGGTTACCTGAGGATAGGCGACGCTGATGGAGGGGACAAACACCGCTGAAACATGAACACGCCTCAGACGAACGACCTCGTTGCATGGGGGGAGCCAATGAGCACTGGGGCTTCAAAAACCCTGCAACACATGAAAGGAGAATGCATTAGGAAATTATAAATAAGGACTAACATTTGATAGACAAATTAAAAAGAGACAAATAGTATATTTTTCAAAAAGTTGAGCGGAAGAAAGAAAAGCGCAATAGGAAATATTCTACAATTAACTTGTCTGTGATGATTTGGCGAGCTATGTCATCTGCTTCTAGCTGTCCACTCTTTTATTAAGCCCAATTTCAGAAAGTACAAATGTTACATTTTCTTCAAGCTGCACTGTGAAAAGAAACTTTTTGGAAACTGACTTCATTTTCTCAACAGTGTAAATACCTGGTGTCACTGTATCTGACTGACTACTGCTCAGGAGGTTGGCTTTTGAGAGTCCTGTGTCAAAATACCGTATTTCCCGGACTACAGAGCGCACCTCACTATAAACCGCACCCACAAAGAAAAAAAAAAAAAGAAAAAAAAAAAAAGAAAAACTGGAAACACATATATAAGCTGCGCCGGTCTATAAGCCGCTGGTACATCCGCTGCTCTGGGTTTTCCAACTTAATAAATCTGCTATTATGGACGCAGCCCTGCATCTCCAACCATGGACTCGTTCACGCCGAGCTTACGTGCAGCGGCTATCGATCTGTACTGCCAGATTGATGGCCTTCAACTTAAAAGCGGCATCATATGAACTTCTTCGTGTTGTTACCATGATGAGGGGGTATGAGTTTGAAGAAATTTCTCTGTCGTGCCTGCTGTTAGCATGTGCTTGCTCTAAATGAAAATTAGCACTTTCTTCTTTGATTTCCAATTTTGACTTCCAACGATTCACTTCCTGCTAAAGCGCCCCCTGGTGGTTGAAGAAAAATCCACAGAAAAGCCACCCCGGGCTACAAGCCGCATGGTTAAAAGTGTGGGGGGAAAAAGTAACAAAAATACGGTATATAAATAGAAAATTGTGTTAAAGTAAGAGTATGGTTTAAAAAAAAAAGAGGCTGTGAGCAACAGGTATAAGTTGAGAGAACTGAGAAGCAAACTTCAATCCAAAGCTTTAGGGAGATTCACAAGCTGGAGGCACTGCTTCAAGAGCTGCCACACTCACAATTCTCTCACCTGAACCAGAGACAACATCTGAAGCGTCTCATATACAGCTGAAGCCAGATAGAAACATGTTATTTCAGACTGCAATAATAACGTAGTTTTGGAGTGGAATCTGAGGAAGAAGTTATAGATTGAGGTCTTCTGACCTCAAGGACTTGGAGCTGATCACCAAACAGAAAATGATCAAACTACCAATGGAAACAAGCAAAAAGCTGCACAGCAATAAAAGAAGAATCATACTGTTATTATGTGCCAGTAGAGTAAAAGTCATTTCCAACATGCCATTTTTTTTTACAAAATGTAAAGATGTAAAATTTCTATGCAGTACATAACATTTAAATAAAACATACTTTTTAAAAATTGATACTCATTGTACAATTTTTTGAGAGCTGTCTACTAAAAACATCAATGAAAATAATGAATCTAAATCTGCCAGGCTTATAAATATTCGATTATAAGCATGTATCTAAATGAGCGCTGTGTAATTCTCCTCATCACAATATCATGTAAAAGCCTTTTGTTAAAATAAAATGAGACAGTAATGTTAAGCACCTCAGCAGAACAGTGAATTCCACTTCATAAACCTCAATCCATATGCATTATGCAAGCCAGGGAATAATAAAAAGTGATAAATACAATTCAAAGACATAACAGAACTGTCTGCTTCATTTCATCACATTTAGCTCCATGTAACATGTTTTTAATGGGAAGATAGGACACACACAACAGACGAGAGTTTAAATTGAAATATTGGAATGAATTAACTTTTCGATTATATTCTAATAAATTGGGGCTGCAATTTATTAGAATATACAGCTGGACTTCGCCACGTGCTTCATCTGCATCTGGATCAAAACTATTGAGCAGTGTAGGGAACCAACGGGATGATAGTTCATGGCGGAGCGGTGGAAGGCAAAAGGCAGTTGGGTATCGCGATGAGTTCTGCTGCTCTGCGTGGGCAAAATGCCACAGTAGAGGATGCCTGGAGGGGCTGGACCAGGCCGTCTTACTGTCTGTCTCTGGGGTCGTGGGGGTCACTCTCAATGGGGTGGTCATTATCTGGCACAATGAGGCAACTGTGGAGGCTGCAGCCCCCTCCAGCCAAGCACTCACCGGTCATTTGCATCATTCGGCAAAAAAAAAAGAGGGAACAAACAAACAAACTAAAAGAGACCCTTTTTTTTCTTTTGTCAATTGTTCTTTATTTTTTACTGTAAACCTGCCAGTGGACGACAAAGGAAATTTAGCCTTTGTGGCTAAATCTGGCATATTTACATGCCTCTCTGCAGCAAAACAACAAAAGAAAAGAAGATATTGCAACAGTGTTTTGGAACCAAAAGGACAAAAAAAAAACATGTCAGAAATGAGATTCTGTGTTCCCTACTTGATGATTCCTTAAACAAACTTTAAGTGACATATGAGAGGCATTTCGCTGACTGACATTGTAGCTTCTAGCAAAGCTTGAGATTTATTCGTGCACTTTGAGACGCTCCGTTTTTATTGACTCGAGGGGATCACGAGGCAGCGACAAACTTATGAAAATTCTAACGTTATTCATTTTCTTCTGAAGACCTTTGGATTTTCAGCAAACATCAGTGGAGGAAGCCGCCCTCCCGCTGCCTCTTCCCTCCCGCGTCACTCTGTTCGGAGCCCAATAAAGCTCCTTTATTTCCAGCATGAAAAACATGTCACTCCAGATGAGCTCAGAGAGTGACATTTAAAACAGGAAAAGGGATATTGAATTAGTTCCCCATCATAAGCTGTCTTGGATGCTTATATATTTATTCCTTTTTAATGTTTTTGGTTTTTTGGTGGGTGCACAAGCGAATGCTGGTGTGCACGTGTGAAGTTATGCAGATGTGTGACCAGGGGAGATTTTCTGTCTGATGCTTTTCTCTCAAAGCTTTGATAGAATCTGATGGAGCGAAAGCAAACGAGGGCCATTTCATTTCTACAATCGCTAATTAAACTTAAGATGCAGAGGGACTTCAAAATATTGCACAAATGATTTTCCTCAGATCATTTATCTTGTTGTGTACAAAGCACACAATTGTTATCAGATGTTGGTAAATATTAAAAACAAAAGAAGTGTCTTTCAAACACAGTTTTATGGGTGTCGCTGAGAACAATGGCAAAGGGGAGAGCCAAAACTGTGACAGTTTATCTTAATAAATATGCACAATAACTTTAGAGACTGGCTTGGGTTTCAAATACTCAAACAATTGGAATTAAGTTCAGAGGACGATGTAATAATACATCCAGTTCCCAAACCAAAGCAGGACAAGATTCTAACTATATTTTTTAGGAAAAATATTTTTTTTTCTTTCCACAACTGGGTTTCAAAGGATTGCAGTCAGAGAAGAAAAATTCAGTCTTGCCCGATTTCCTCAAGTACCGGAGTTTCTAAGCAATTAAACTGAAAAATACTTTATTTTTCCCAAAGGGAAACTAAATGTTCTAATTTTTATCCTTCAAAGAGTTGTTGAAGATGCTGATGGATGGCTGTGGGCAAATCTTCTGTAGCAGTCTGTATCACAGCGGTTCTGAGGAAGCTTCTGACTGAAGTAACTCTGTTGTTGTACAAAAGTCATTTCATGAGGAATCCTTCTTTGCTCCAAAGTCCCAGAACAGAACCAGTCTGCTTAGCTTTTTAAAGTCTGGAATGGTTTATTGATCATCCAGTAAATACAGATCCAGGAAGAAAATATTTCAAAAAACAAGTCTAACATACACAAAAATGGTAAAGACCTAAATAGTGCGCTACAAATAAAAACCTAAGTAGACTGTACATGTGCCTTCTTCCCAGGCTTTTGAGACAAAGAGTCTTTCAGAGTCACAACCGGAAAGTATTCCTCCATACCATGAGTCCAAGGGTAGCAGAAATGCTGTTTAAGAGTGAATTAGAGTAGGGGGAAAAAAGGTTTAATTTACTTAACCACATTTTCTCCATCTGAGCCAAAAGCATCAACTTTTTAAAGGGACAGAGTACAAACCGTTTGTATAAAGAGGTTGAAGGGCAAACAGTGACACATGCTCCAAGTTCTGAGCAATGTCACTGAACATTAAGGCATTAGCATATGAGCCAAGCCTCCCCAGTCAAGCTGCACTTTTCCAAAATCAGGAGTAAATTAAGGAGACAGCAGCTCCCCCCCTCCCCCCACCAAAAAAAAAAAAAAAAAAAAAACCTCACACTCCAAGCCATCCACTAGAAAAATGTTCCCACGAGACAGAGTTATGTTATAGTATGAAGTTGGATTTTTACCTACAGCTGAGAGGGAGCAGAGGAAAGTGGGACAAATTAGTTTTAGACAGAACATGATCTCAGCATTTGAAAAAAGAAAAACAGAAACTTTATCCTTTGCTATTTTCAATGTAAACACACATCTCTGACTTAGATGAAAATTTTGTCAGTTGCTAATGATTCATTACTCGACTTAAAAAACAGCCGATTCCAAGAAATATAATTACGAAGCTAATAAAACATTCAATAACGGTGATGGCTGAGAAAATATTTGGAAGACCGCAGATTTAGAAGGCATATATCCATCTTATTGTCTTGGCTGAACCCTGAATTATTTTCAGTTGTTTTTACTTTTGTGGCCTCGAAGTAAATGATGAAAGCGGGCGGACGTGCTGGTGCAGGTCGAGGATCTGCCGCTGTGAGTGGTAAAGGCTGGTACATGTCCCGTCGTTAAATCCCAGAGTTCATGCTGCATCGTTATGTCTCGGCTCGCATATCTGAGCAAGAATGCTTGATGTTGGGATCATTTCGAAACAGAAAGAAAGAGCAGAACAATTTAGATCTTTTCACATTTTCACATTGTGTTCCTCAACACAAATTTCAATGTGTTTCAGTGCACATCTATCTGCCAGTCTATCACAATAAAACAAATGGACGTTTGTGAGTGTTACGGGACAAAACTAATACTT